TAAAGGGCTTTGTTTTATTCCAAGAAATGCTTGAAACAGCCATTAGGATGGGATCGTTTAAAATCTTTCTTTATTATTCTTTGTTTATTCAAGTTTACATCATTTGATTGGTTGAAAATGAAATATAGACAGTTACCAGTAAGACTTGTATTTATATAAAAAAAAAAAAAATGAGCATTGCTCTATTCTTAATACATGCAGTTTTATAAGATTCGAAAAAGAAGATGTGGGGATAAGCGGGCAGAATGCCTATAGTACAACAGATAAGAAATGAAAATCTAAATCTCAATTATATCCTAATTTTATTTTATATTTCATCCAATATTAAAGTATACTTAATGTAAAATCTCTATAATTTACAAAAATCTCACAAAGACTGAAAATATTTGTCTATGAAAAAGCATATACACACACTTAAAAAAAAAAAAAAAAAAAAAAAACCGATCATTTTCTCATACTTAAACAAAATTTTTCAATATGAGTGGGTCTTCGCTCCAATTTTTGAAAGATAACCCTAAAGGTTTGCGATAAAATAGATATTTTTGGTTTACAAAAAAAAAAAAAAAAAAAATGGAGCGAAGACCTTAAAAGAACACTTTTATGACAAACCATTCGCATCTTATCGAGAAATACTTCAAGTCAAGGGTCATATCACAAATATGATTGAAATACCCACAAACACCATGAGCCCTTGTCATCATCAATTAGTTGCATGTGTTTTGGGCTTTTTAGCTATTTCCCTACGTGACGTCATACATTTTACGGTTGAGCAATTCTGAACACTGATTTTGGTGCATCGTAACTAAATTTCTCATCTGGCCAATTTTCGTAAATTTCGGTCATGCGGTCAATTTTTTTTTTCGAAAATTATGCTACCCTGCGTTTCTTTTTCCTTTCAGTATACTTTCAATGAAATAATGAATTATCAGTGTATACTTATAAAACCCACACTGAGAGACACACTCAAGTTGTGCTTAGCATTTTTTTTAAAAAATGCCCGATAGCAGAGAAGAATATTTACAAAGAAATAATGCAATTAACATAAAATCAATAGAGTCCCACCTTTATACCCAAACCCCTGACTCAGAGGCCATAAATTTCATACTTTTGAAAGAGGCACCCTTGCTCATCACTGCCATATGCTTATTTGTCTGCCAAATACCAATGGCCAAAGAAGTGCATTTTTAAAGAAATAGTGCATTTTCATTCATCCTCTTGTCAATGGAATCCTCCCTATCACCAGTCTGAGAACACCTGACCCAGGGGCCATGATTTTTTAAAGAAGCCATGAGAAGCACCCTGGCTCATTATACCCATGTGCTTTTTTCATTTGCCAAATACAAACGAGCAGAAAGCAGATTTTTAAAGAAAGAATGCCCTTTCACTACAAAAACAATACAACCCCTTCCTAACAACAGAAAACCCCACCAAGGTGTCATGAAATTCAATATTCTTGGAAAGGCATTTTTGTTAATCATAGTCTTATGCTTAGTTTCTCAGCCTAATCCCCATCTGCAAAGAAGAATGTTTTCAAAGAAATACCCCGGTAATACATTTTCACTATATAATCAATAGACCTCTGCCAAACACCAGAACCCCTATCCAAGGGGATACGATTTTAACAATTTTGAAAAAGCCATCTTTGCTAATCATTACAACATCTCTAGTTTCTTAACAGGGGGAAGAGAAACAGATTTTTTATGAATGTGCAATTTCACTATATGACCAATAAAGCCTCTCCCTAACTTTTACGAGACCTTATTTTTGCATGATAGCCATAACTTGCTAACAGCGAGACAAAATTTTCACGAATTGTATTTATTGCACTACATAAAATGAAGGAATACTAACATATGGGAGAAAGAAATTTTTGTGGGTACACATTCTCCCATAATTTTGCAAAAATTCATTGCAAATAAAACATGGTTTACAGTGTAATTCACAATTTTTATGTCCCCCTTTGCCCATAGATGCTTTTTTACCCAAAACTGGTAGAAATGGGTTCAGCAGTTTATTAGAGGCTGATAATGCTCAAAAGTTTTTGAAATGATAATCAAAAACAGACAGCAAAAGATCACCTGACTCAGGTGAACTAAAAATGCACAGGAGAGTAGGGAATCATCCAATAGCAATCTAAATATTTTTGCGATCCAAAATGATTGGAAAATATTGCATAAACATTTCATATAAAAGCCATGAGTCAAGTTTCACGTTTATTACACATAAAAACAAAATGAAAATTTGACATATAAAAAGATAAAAAAAAAAAAAAAGAATTGCACATACCTTGTAAAATTGAGGTTATTTAAAAATACTCAGTATATTAATACAAATGCAGTCACAACACACTAAAGACTTTAATTTTTTACAGATTGAAACAATGTTTTATTCAAGTGTGGATATATAAACTTTAAAAATGGATAACTTTAAATGGAATGATAGTCAAGATGCAAAGATACTTCATTGCTTTTTACATTGTAATTGCCATATCCTTTGATCTAGTCATGTAATCTATAGTAGATTGTTAGTTAACATCTCTGTGTTGTGATTTTGCCATTATACAAACAAACAGTAATGACCAAGAATCATAATAGTCTGTTTGGATCTAAGCAATCTTTCGGTCAAAAATGCATTTAATGCAAAAACTTTACATTTCAGACCCATTTCGAATTTCATGTATGGCTAAAACAAAAGGAGCTGTGCCTAGAACAAAAATGGAATGCCTATGCCTCCATGAACTGCAAAGCAGTTTATAAAAAAAATTGTAAATTACTCCAACCCAGGTTAAACAAGTTTAACTTGGCTAGTTATTAAATTCATTCCTTATAATTTGAGTTAAATTATCTCTTTCAAAAATTCCTTCAAATTGAGCAAATTTTAAATGTAATGTCAAGTGGATTGGTGCATTTTTGACACAAGTCACTGTGATGTAGACAACATAGGTTATACGATATAGACAATTTTTTTTATCCAATCAAATGGTAAATTACTTGAAAATATACTGTTTGACAAACTCTTAAAAATTGATATGTTAATAATACAATATATTTTTTGTCAATTTACTCCGAATTTAATGGGTGTATCACTGTTTACATTGTCGAGTAAAACATTCAACATATAAATATTTCTGGATTAAAATTTGTAAAAGATTTCAGCAATATATTGCACTTTTTTCAATTCATATAATTCATTATTTCTCATTTTGAGATTCTCTACTTACTCGTAGGTTGGACAACATCAACTTGAATCGATCCAACTAATTCATTAAGCTGAATCCAATGTTTGAAAAAAAAAAATCAATCCTCTTTAAACACTCTTTACACATCCAAATAGTTACATTGCAATCAACAGACTTTGTATGTGAAAATGAAAATTGATTAACATACATGTACATGTGTGCAGTTTCTACTTAAATTCACATTACCACTTTTATGAAATACTTTTAAAGTTTCAAAGCAGGTCTTCATGAAATGTACGATGCTTAAAAAACATTTGAAAATTATCATTAAATACAAATAAGAAACAAGTTCTATACATACAAAAAATAATTTGAAAATTTTTAAAGAAATTTGAGGTTTAAGAATTTATCTCTTCAGCTAGTACATGTATATATCTTTCACTTCTATGCAAAAAAGTCATTTCTTTTTTTTGTAACTCTTGTTTTTTCCTGATTGTATACAGCTCCATCTATAATATTAAAGCACTTCAATGTAACCAAAATTTAAGGTTGTTAAAGTTAGTAGTGGCACTGACTAGAATGATGATCTGTTCAGCTCTGCTTTCTAGCATCATCTCGGTCCTGTTAAAAATCTCCAAGACTAGAAATTCTCTTTTAGCTGCCATCACAGGGTTCTGAAAAATAAAAGTAGCAATCACTCCTTAGTTTTTTTAATTCTGGCTTAATTTTATTTTAATTGCAGGTACATGTATTTCTTTCACAGAAAAATATGTAATTTGCCATTAATACAGTAGTTTCGAAACACTACCAAGTAGGATGGCCTCCAGCCCAGCTTTTAATTAATATTATCACTTGTGTGCACATGCTTCTTAAATGTCTTCTTACCAAATATGAAACAAGGTTGCACAAGGGGAATTCAGTTTCAGATTTTTCTAATCATGCACTCTCTGTCACATTTACCGAGAATTACTTTGACATTAAATTCTTTAAATCATGATCAGCTCTAAACAAATTTTGGTTAAACTTAATACTCTAACAATTTCTTTAAAATTAAGCTATAAATGCAAAATGCAGATTAAAAATGACTGTTAGATTACATTTTACATTTAACAAGTAATGTATCACTGTTTATCAAGATGAGAACATTACCTCATACTTATCAATCATGCAGCTTTTTCTTCCACCTTTGACCTTTTCTTGACAAACTCTTGAGCATCTCTATCCCACAATCGAGAGGCTAAAATATCAAGAGCTCCCTTCTCTGTAAAATAGGAGAGAGAGAATTGAGAGGACAATCTTTTAAAAAACACATTTATGTCAATCTGTCTACCTGTATATACATGAATATGTAAATAATAAATATTCTTAAGAGAAAAAAATTGGAACTATTTTCGTCTTATAATGTACTTGAGCCATGTATGTTAGTGTGGATTAGTTGTTGCCAAATTATATTGAAATCAGACCAAAACTGTGGGAGGAGTAGCATTTTGAAAGACAGTATTTCTCAGAAATTTCTAATTTTACTAAACCAAGGCAAAACTTCCTCAAAACCAAAACCGATAAAGTTATGTACCTTATTAAAGTCTACAAGTGTGTCAAGCTAAATTGAAATCAGGCCAAAACTGAAGGAGGTGTAGCTTTTTCAAAGTATTTCACAAAAATTTCCAACCAATAGAGCCCAGATGCTTTGTGTACCATCTTATACTCCATCTATTCTATTGATTTGTTCCTAATTTGTGTTTGCACAGTGCTTTTATTTATTCATTTGTTTGGGGGGAGGGGGGGTCATTTTCTTCTTTTCTTTCTGTGTGTGGTCTATTACCTTTGTGTTGAGGCTGCATTAAGGGTAAGGCAGTAATAGCGAGGGAATCGAACCCGGAGACATCTTGTCCATCCACCCCTGGAATGTTACACAGATCCACATACGCCTCTCCCGCGAAGTCGTTCTCAAACACATAATCATGGTCCATCACAGTAAACACCAGCACTGCTCCTCTCTTCCTACACTGCTCTATTGACACATTACTGTAATAACAAGGTCAAATCAAGGAGGTCAAGGATATCATGAAGTGTTTCATAGATATAAATGTACAATAATATACTGTGATTTCATCAATATTCATTGAGCACCAATTTTCGTGGATTTCGTTGTCGAGGAGATCCACAAATTCAAATGTTCATCATAGACGCCAACTCACCCGATTTCGTCGGGTCACACCCGATTTTTCAACCCATAACCCGATTATTTTTTATGACCCGGCGGGTCATGCTTTTCACCCGATTTTTGCCGAACAACCCGCAAATCTCCCGATTTCCGGATTTGGTTCATAAATTACCGGTAGGTTGTACTTTTAACTTCCAGTAACAACCCAGCTTAGATCTACGTAAACAATGCCGATGGACTAATTATCAGTGCAGGTGTAAACAATTAACTGGGTGTTGTTTTGACATGTTTGAGGTCAATTAAAATGGCTTCCGATAGAACTAGATCGTTATCAGGGCCAGCAGGAACAAATTGAACCAAACAAATGTCTCTGATTGAACCAAGAAAAAGAGAAACAATATTTATGTACATATCAAGGAATCTTGGGGAAAAAAAATCATTCTAGATAAAATAAAGTGATAGAAGACAGTTTTGGCCTAACTTCACATTTAATACATATTGCAGTAGTTAATTAAGAGAGAGGAAAAATTACTTCAAAACTGAAATTAGTATATATTTTCAAATTTATCAGAAACTGAAAAGACTTTTTTTTTTTTAAATTACACTTAGTCTTACTTCAGGTCAATAGTATACTGAAATATGAAACCTTCAATTCTCTTTTTTAACATGTAAATTTATTAATCAAAGTATGTACGAGTTTTTTGTCATTGTAAATTAAAGCCTTTTTCAATAAAAGAATTTTCAATACACAAATACTTTGTATATATATGTATAAAATTTAATCATGGTAAATATGTCGTGAATGTCGTTAACGCGTTATGTCCAGATTTTTTACTTTCCAAATCTGGTCATGACCAGATTTTTACATGCTGAAGGTTGGCAACTATGATGTTCATTGAATTACGAAATATGACATTCATTTGTATAGGCAATGCTTTTGTCCACGAAATTACGTATCCTTGAAAACGTCTATTTTACAAAATCCACGAAAATTGATGAAACCACAGTACATAAAAATTTTTAAGTTTGCTATAAAAAGTTAAAGCATAAAGTTCACATCCCTGCAAATTTAATCCTTCTGAGTGTATGTTAACAGGAAGTACTCTATACTTAAGGGCTTTATCAATTGTCATTAACATAGAACTTGATTATTTTGTGTCTTTGGACAATAACAAACTAAAAACCCTTGACCTACCAAGCCCACATGCATTAATCATTATCTCTCTAATGTTCTCTATCAGCATTTTTCCCTATATTCATTCCTATGCAAAATTTTGTTCTTTCCTTGTGACCTCACTCTTTCCTTGACGATCATAATTTGAACTGGCTTGAGAATCTAATCTACCCGAGAATAATTCCAAATGAAAATGTCTAATAATCATGCTTTGCTGTTCTTGAGAAAAAAAGAATTTTGAAGATTTATCCTACAAGTTGCTTTGTAAAACCTTTTTCACCCATTGTGACACCCCCTCCCCAAAAAGAAGGGAACATTTTTAACAAATTTAAATCTACACTTCCTAACTTGAAGTATCTATATATTATGACTAACCATGGCCTTGCTTTTCCTGGACGGATGATTAATTTATGTTAAATTTTGATCCCAATTTACTTGTAGCCCACCCTACACAGTGGGAGTCATGATTAGAATGAAATGGAAAGGATTTTCCATTAAAAAAATAAATTGAGGGAAATGACACTGACAGATTCTTACAGTAATTTCCTTTGCCAAAAATCTACTCACAATTCAAATGATTCATCAAACACTGGGTTGAGTGTTTTCTTCTTAATGCTGGTTTTCTGCACTGGGACATCATGGAAAATATGCTCTGGACAAAACTGTATCAATACATAGGGATCGCTAAATCCTGTAATAACATCAAAATAAAATGCTTAGGGTTGTGCAATATTACCGGTATATCGGTATATTGTGGTATTACCAACCACGGTAATATATCGCGATATAAGAATGAGATACCGGTATTTCACGATATTTATAAAAATATATATAAAACCTCCTTTATTGTAGAAACTGCTGAAATAAAACTTGAAAATTCTAAGGCTTTTTCTTTCTCGTTGAAAGAATACTTCGTCAACTGCGTTCGGGAGAGACAGAAAGAGAGAGAGGAGAGCGAGAGAGAAAGCTTTTAATTCACTGTTGCAGTTTTGAATATCTTACTTTAGAATAAAATTAATAATTAATAAGACTTTAAAATAAAAATTATATGAAAGAAAATATATAAAACATTTCTACTGTGCGTATACCATGTGTACTGTGGTTCCCAAAATCTCACACGGAATCTACAAGATCGACATCGCGATGAAATGTCAAGTTCAATATACATGACAGTGTACATATTACAAGTAAATAATTATCCATGTTTTCACTTGAAGCAGTGTTGCTTTAATTATATTTAATAACTTTCGTGCCATTTTAAACACCCCATGCTATATCAGAAGCATGTATATTAAAACAGTAGATATAGGCCATTTCCTGATTGTATGTCTTTATGTGAAATTAGGTCGGGTTAGACTAAAACCCCAAAACGCACGGAAATAGGTCACAATTTCTTTCTGGTTTTAATTTTATTCTGTAACCATAATAAAATTATTTTCAAATAGTGTATATTGTTTTAATCTTTTATAACATTTTATGCTACTTCATAAAGACCCCCCCCCAAAAAAAAAAAAAAAAAAATTAAATGAAAAAAAGATTATATAATCTGTAAAAACTTTTTTATTTCAATTTGAAAATTCTCCAAGAGAGTTCACTTTGTTTTATTATTTTACCAGGTATTTGATTAAAAGTAGAGTGTTATTAGGTGTGCAATTAATGTCTTATCCCTCCTCACCCTTTAAAACTTAAAGGAAAATTCAAATAGTCTTTGAAGTTGACAGCATTTCAAACATTCTGCTCAATTTTATTAATGATAATTAGTCTACAATATATTGCAATATATTGCAATATTCAAAGTAAAATATTGCAATATATCGCAATATGGTTTTCACTCGCAATACCCAACTCTAAAAATGCTTACTTTTCTTACTTCAACAAAACAGATATTAACTTCCTACTGCTAGGAAACACTAAACAAAGGTTTGTGAGTTGAGGATAATAAAAGCTTGTCTATTCCACATCAATATATTGCATATTTAATTGATAACTCTTGTTTTTAGAACTGACTTGAAAAAAAAAACAAGAGGCCCAAGGGCCTTGAATCGCTCTTCTGATAAATTGTACAACCTATCACTTGTATTTGAAGCCTCTAACCCTAAGTATCCTAAGACCCAAGTTGCATCAACCGACAAAGTTTGATGATTCTTAGCCAATTAGGACTGAAGATATTTTAATAAAGCTATAAAAAACCATGAGTAGGTCACAGTGACCTACTTTAAGATTGAAGTTTTCTGAGGACTCAAGATGCATTAATAGACAAACTAAAATTGAAGATTCTAAGCCAATAAGTATTTGAGATATTCAAAAGTAAGTCACCTTGACCTACTTTTTGGTCTACATTCTTGGAAAACCCAAAATGCATCAACTGACAAAGTTTGATTATTCTAAGCCAATAAATAACTAAGATACTTAAATATAGCCATAAAATGTTGAAAGTAAGTCATCGTGACCTTAATTTTAGTTGACATTTTTCAGAGTCCCAAGATGCATCTGTTGACTAAGTTTGATAATTCTAAGCCAATAAATACCTGAGATATTCAAAAGTAGGTCACCATGACATACTTTTTGGTCGACATTCTCTGAAAATCCAAGAGCCATCAACAAACAAAGTTTGACGATTCTAAACTGATAAGTACCAGAGATACTTAAATAAAGCCATAAAATGTCAAAGTACCAACGTACTCCGAAAACCCAAGATGCATCAACTGAGAAAGATTGATGATTCTAAGCCAATAAATACCTAAGATACTTAAATATAGCCATAAAATGTCGAAAGTAGGTCATTGTGACCTCCATTTTGGTTGACATTTTTCAGAGTCCCAAGATGCATCTGCTGACCAAGTTTGATAATTTTAAGACAATAAATACCTGAGATATTCAAAAGTAGGTCACTGTGACCTACTTTTTGGTCGACATTCTCTGAAAACCCAAGTGGCATCAACTAACAAAGTTTGATGATTCTAAACCGATAAGTACTAGAGATAATAAATATAGCCATAAAATGTCAAAAGAAGGTCACTGTGACCTACTTTTTAATTGACATTCTCTGAAAACCCAAGAGGCATCAACTAACAGAGTTTGATGATTCTAAACCGATAAGTACCAGAGATACATAAATATAGCCATAAAATGTCAAAAGTAAGTCATCGTGACCTACATTTTGGTCGACATTCTCTGAAAACCAAAGATGCATCAACTGACAAAGTTTGATGATTCTAAGCCAATAAGTACCGGAGATACTTAAATATAGCCATAAAATGTCAAAAGTAGGTCACCGTGACCTAATTTTTGGTCATCACCCTCCGAAAACCCAAGATGCATCAACTGACATAGTTTGATGATTCTAAGCCAATAAGTACCGGAGATACTTAAATATAGCCATAAAATGTCAAAAGTAGGTCACCGTGACCTAATTTTTGGTCATCACCCTCCGAAAACCCAAGATGCATCAACTGACATAGTTTGATGATTCTAAGCCAATAAGTACCGGAGATACTTAAATATAGCCATAAAATGTCAAAAGTAGGTCACTGTGACCTAATTTTTGGTCATCACTCTCCAAAATCCCAAGATGCATCAACTCATAAGGTTGGATGATCTTAAGCCAATAAATACCAAAGATACTTAAATATAGCCATAAAATGTTGAAAGTAGGTCACTGTGACCTACATTTTGGTGGACATTTTTCAGAGTCCCAAGATGCATCTGCTGACCAAGTTTGATGATTGTAGGTCTGAAAGTAATCAAAATATGCCTTTTAAACAATTTGAAAACAAATGCCTGCAAAATACTAAAAGTAGGTCACAGTGACCTACTTTTTCATAAATATGTTTTAAGGATGAATTCTTCTGATCAATTTACCCCAAATGGGTCTTCGTACTTAGACATGTCGTAAAATTCAAACTGATAACAATTTACAAACAAGTTTTTTAAGTTTTTATGATTTATATGTTTAACTATATTTATTTTTAAATAAAAAATCTTTCTATGTTGTATTAATGACCAACACGTGTGCAGAATTACGATATTTACGACATAGGCCTAAGAAAATCGACAAGTGAAATCGACATCGAGAGGGGAAGACTCAAGAAGACGGGATCGCCCGTTTCAAAGCGACAGGAATGCCGAATGGCACTCCATTAAAAGAGCCAACCGACAGGAATTTTAAAACATTTAAAAAATTGTCGAGATCACAATTAAGCCTACAGGAACATTCTCGAAAGCGGTACCCAAACATGCCAGCCAAGAGCGCCGAAGTGTGTTGACGCAGTGGAAAAGCGAAAATGTAGGTTTACAATATTTTCAAACTTATTGAAAATAGCAATGTTTATGCGTTATAGATACAAAGGTTTCAAAATACATAGTATACTGTCACATCGCAAACTCAAACATAGCATAGCCTATTACATGTTACATGTACGTAACGTTAGGCCTAAGGTCTCCAGAGGCGTGCAGACGACAACATTTGTATTATCTTTTTTATTACAACTTTAGCTTTTAGTATATGATAAATTACCTTTGATATTGTAAATGCAGAATCTCTATCTCAAATTTATAGACATACCGTAAGAAAATAATAAGATAACTTCTATAATTTTTAGCTGTTTACATTCGGTAAGAAACTAGGTCGCTTCATTCTATGGCGGCCTATGCGGGTTAAAAAAAATGGAATATTTCTGAAACATCATGGAACATATAGAAATTTTTAGTCTAAACTACAGGCCTGGGTTCATAAAAACAAAGTCAGATAGACAAAATAATGATTTTACATTTTTTGAACAATGATATTACCAGTAAATTATAATCTAATTTTTTTCTAAAATAATTTTTTACAGGTAAGTCTTGTTTTCACAAGAATCACTAATGAAGGCTTTTAGAAGAGAGCAGGGTTTAAGAACCACTAAAATCAGAAGGAGAAAACCATAAAAATCAGATTGAGAAAGTGGGACTGGATTTGACTAATCCCTGTGAAGCCACCATCCAACACTACAAACCAGGACACAATATGCAACCCCCCAGGCCAAGAGAAAGAGAGGACATCCAACAGACTATTGTGAAGTTTTATGTGTTAATTGCTTACTTTTTATTCTTAAAAATCTTTTCTTAACAAAATTGTAAATATTACATGAAATTAGCACACTAATTTTGAATATTTGGTGAATAAAACACATACTTTGATGCCTAAATGCTTGATTTATTTTCATTAAATGATGAAAAAGAAACATGGGGTGGGGATATAAAAAATATCAAAACTTTCTTATATGTGCACTAACCCCTACTTTTCATGCTATGAAAAGAAGCCATTATACCTAAAGAAACTGTACAACAATTTTCTGAAAAAGTTTAATTGTAGAAATATGTTTTTCTTTGGTTTTTCGAGCAATTTTATAGGGAAAAATGTGCCTAATTTTGACATGGGTGAACAACATTTTTGGGTACAAGTTATCTAATTGGTATTTATTTGCTCATATTTTGTTTAAAAAATCAACTTTGCAATACTTTCAAGTAAATTTAAGCCAAATTAAGTTTTAATTCACTATATTTATAAGTTTTATGAGGTATTTTATTGTCTAGTAGCATTTTTAAGGAAATTTCCCATGCTCTATTTTGGCCTATGTTCAAAGGGTTGAACCTCTCTTAGATGAACACTAACATACACTTTTCTTGTCTTTAAATTATTCCTTGGATATT